ATTATTTAATTATATATTGTTGTGTTTCTTTTTTTGTTGGTATTTGCCCTTTTTTGAGGTTTCTATTAGGAATAAATTAGGCTCATTTTTTCTCTTGTTATTTTGAACAGCTGGTATTCCTTTTTAGGAGTGATATACCTTTCTTCTATCAAGTCTTGTTTGTTTATTAGTGATTGTTCTATCTTCTAGTCTGGCTATTTTGCCACTTAGTTTTTCTAAGTTGGTTAAAATATAGTATAATGGATCTTTCTTATTTTGTGTTTCTATATTTGACTTATTTTTATTAAGACTGCTATAATGGTTGTGTCTTAGATTGCCAATAGATTTTTTATTGCTTTCTATAGCTAGGTTCTTATATCTTCATTGTTTTTTTGTTTTATACTTTCAGTTTAGGTTCTATAAGATTTTTGACTTTTTGAAGATAGATCTCTTAAAAGTGGCCTTCTTGCTAACAAATAACTCTTACTAGATAAGAAAAAGGAACTTATTAATTTATTGTTAGATAGTAAGTTTATGAATATCTTATTATCTATTTTAACTTTTTTATTTTGTGCCTTGGCTCTTTTTTTTTTTGTTTCTGGAGTATTCTTATTTTTTGCTAATATATTTTTTACACTCCATGATAAATGTAACTCTTGCAGGACAATATATTATTTATAGGCTTTGTTGAGAGCTTCTCATTGTAAAGTATACTATTGTAAATTCTGTTTTTTTAGTGTAAAGAGACATCTTGGGATATAATATACCTTTGTTTCTATACCATTGAATATTTTGGCTATCAGACTTGAATAGATCTTATTAGTACCTAGTAATCTTGCAGAGTTTTGGTTCTGTTTCATTAGGATAATATTAATTTCTCTATCTGTTAATTCTTCCTTGGAGAAGATAGCCCTAGTAGTTTCTATTTCTAGAGAGATCATCTATAAGGTTTTTGGATTTATTTTCCAGTGACTATGCCATTTGATATAAGCCTTGATCCTTGTTTTTGTTTTAATCTTATAAATATATATATTTCAAATCTCCTAATATCTTTTTAGATATTTTTTTATAAAATAATGGGAAGTTTTGTGTTCTACATCTATTAAGTTAACATATCATACTGTATAGATACAAAATAATGCACACTTGCACATTATTTCAGATATTTGCACATTATTTCAAGTATGCACATATGCGTTATTTCAAGAAAAAGATTAATTTTTCAAACTATTATTTTTAAAATAACGCTCATGAGATTATTTAGCTTGTGATAATTTTTTTGTTCATGTAAATTTGTGATTGTTAAGGCTTAACAAGGGCTTATAAAAAGATACAAATAAATATAAGCCATAAGAATCAATTCGTATTATTTTTCGCATATAACAATAAACAAATAAATTATTTTTTTTTTTACCCATTGTTTTTTTTATTTATCTCGAGCAAAAATCCTGAAATTTCTATAAGTGATTATATTAAAAAATTAGATAATAATGAAAATAAGACTTTACTATATTTATATATTGTTCACTTTATTACAATGCTTTTACATATTTGTAAACTTTTTATAGTTATACCATTGTTAGTAAGCATTTGTAGCTAAGCATTTAAAAAAATATAATTGTATGAAAATTTGTTGTATCGTTTTACTTAACTATGAATAACAATTCTGGCAAAAAATGAAGTTATACAATATCTTTTAAACTTGAAGTAATATCATATGCTAAAAGTATATTCAATCGCAATGCTTCAATATATTATAAAGTAGATCATAAATATGTTCAAGAATGGAGAAAGCAAAAGTCTGAGCTTGAAGCTATTAAAAATAATCCAAATTTAAATTCAAATCATATATGAGTACTTGAAGAATATGGTTGAAAAACAATGTATTCTACATTAGAAGAAGAATTAATAGAGTTTATCAAAAACATATAGAAGAAAAGAAATGCTGTTACATTTATAATTGAAAAAAAGGCTAAAGAATTAGACAAATTATTGGCTCTTGATAATTTTAAGGCTTCACATAGTTGGATCAAATATTTTAAACATTGACATAATTTAGTACAACATGTTCATACACAAGTAATGCAAAAACTTCCAGAAGATATACCATCAACTATTAAAGATTTTCTTCAATATTTATGTGAAAAAACAAATAATAAAAGAAAATATATTATTATATTTGATAAAACTTCAATGTGATTTGATATGCCTAGAAATTCAATTATTGATTTTTATGATATACATGAAGTGCCAATTAAAACTACAAGAAATAACAAATTGCATTTTACAATCTTTTAGGATATACAGCTTCTGAAGAATAACTTTCACCAATAGTAATATTCAAGTTAGCAAAAGTACTGAAATATAAATTTCTAAAAGATATTATTGTAATAACAGCAACTTATGCAAATATATATAGAGATTTAATGCTTGCTACTTATATTCCTCAAGTTATTAGAGTTAGATCAAATGGATTTTTTAAAAATAAAGACTTAGTATTTATTGATTGTTATAGAAGTCATATATGTAAAGATGTAATAAAAACATTAATATTAGAAGGTTTAACTATTATAAAAATACATGGTGGAACAACTAGTGTTTTACAACCACCTGATGTTTTAGTGAACAAAGCATTTAAAACAAAAATGTGAAGAAAATGGGAAAAATAGATAAGTGATAGAGAAAAAGAATCTATAAAAAATAGAAATTGCAAAAAGTTTCTTATAAATTAATTTGTAGATGGATATCAGAAACATGGAAAGAAATTAGTATCGAACTTTTAGTAAAATCATTTGAGGTAACTGGACTTATATTAGATACTAATAGTAGTGAAGATTATAAAATGACAGATTAGCTTCAAGCTATTGTTGAAAATCATGTAAATAATATTAATATAAAAGAATTATTAAGTAAAGATGAAATGTTAACATCTGATGAATTAGATCTTAAAGATATGATAGAAACAAATTATGATTATGAAACTGATGAAGAAAAGGATTTTGAAGACATGATAGAATTAGATAATTATGAATAAATAGAAATTAAAAAATATTTTTTTTATTAAATAATAAAGTTTTAAACAGTTTTGTTAATTATTATATTTTTATATATAAGTGCGTATTATTTCGAATATGCCTATAGGCATTATTTTAAAATAAATATTTATTTTTTTAAATGAGCTGTTTTTAAAATAATGCACATAGGTATTATTTCGTACCTATACAATCTATCTTTTTTTTCTCCTTTGTTCATTAATTGAAAGACTTTCTTGTCTAGTATCTTTATATTTTATATTTGAATGTTGATTTTATTTTCAAGCTGTTGTAAATAGAAGGCCTCTTCTTTTCTATTTATTTTATCTAGACCTTGAAAAGATCTTTTTCTTTCTCTAGATGAAAACTTATTATTTATTTCTATTAATAAATTCTTTTTGAAGGAAGTTGCATTTGTTTTGTAGCAATTTCAGTATACTATCCAAGTATACTTTGATTTCTTTTTCATTGTTTTCTGGAATATTGACTATTATTGCCCCTACTTTGTATTTATCCTTTTTGTTTATGAAGTAGAGATTTAGTGATGAGGTTACTTGCTTGTTTCTTATTGTATAGGAGCTATACTTGCTTATATTGTGGTCTTTAATTTTGCTTTTGAATGTTTCTGCTTCTATTTTCTCTTGTTCTTGACTATCTATCATCATTATTTAATTGTCCAATAGTAATTTATTTTCTAACTACATAGTAATCTTTATTGAAGTAAATTGCATTCTTAATAGCTTTTTCTTGATTATATCTAGATATTTATCTTTTATATAGGGTTGAAGTAGATCCTTCTCCTTTTCCTTTTTATTATATCAGAGATAGGTGATATATTATATAAGAATTTACTCTTTATGAAATGTTGTTTTGTCTATTTCTAGGATTTTGGTAATAATAATATTCAATATAATATACTGTATGTTTCTAAAGCAATTGTTATTATATCATTGTAAAAAGTTATATCTTTTTGTTGAATGATTTATTGTATAATTAATAGCTGACTCATTTAATTATACTTCTTTGCTAATTGAACTAGTATATTAATAAATTTTATTCTCTTTTGTTTATTATCTAAAGTATTTTTTTTTAACCCTCTGTCAGGTTAGTTAAGTGTGCTTTATTAAACATTTGTAAGCTGTACATATTGAATAAAACGCTAAAGCTAAATCTCTAACTAACTCACTTGTTTTGATAGTATTATCTCTCTAAGTGCAACTTTGGGAGTGATTTATCACTCCATTAGAGGTTCAGGTAAAGACCCTTCCAACTTCTAACATCATTGACTATTTAAAGTATCTATTTTGCTTTATTCATAATAGTTTATATATATATATTGATATTATTGTTATATAGTTGTATTGTGTTATAAGTGGTTATGTAACAGATTAATTTTTGTTTTTAATATTATTTTAGTAACTATTGTTAAGCTTGTTAACCTATTTTAATATAAATAGGACTCGTGTTATTGTTTATTATTTGATACCAATATTGTTTACTTGTTTTGACTGATTCTCTACCTTTATTTGAACTGTTTTTATAGCTTATTAATATTAATCACTTAATATTGTTTTATTATAATCATTGATCCTACTAATATAGTAACATTGTTGTACTGCTATAGTAGATATTAGTCAAATATATTTTGAAAGTTAACCTTTGTACATGTAAATATTTACATTACTTATTGATATATTTTGATATTAAGGAATTGAGGATCTGTATATTAAGTTGTTTAAATCTTAAAAAGTTTTGATGTCCTTCTAGATCTTAGAAAATTTGAGATTATTTGATTTATTAAACTAAACTATCTTTTCTAAGATTTCTTGTAGTATTAAAAAAGATGTTAACTTGCACTGGCCTGGCTGCAAGCTTTGTGAAGTTGATATTGGTTTCCTTTTCTGACTATAAATCTGTTACTATTTATTTATTTCCTTTCCTATAAGTTGAGAAGGTAAAGTAATTGATAGAAATAAAAGTCTTCAACTATCAACTAGTTTGAAATATTTAGCACAGTCTTGTCTTATATTGGATTATTTTTAGATTTGTGTTATTATTATTATTATTTTTTTTTAACCCGCAATCATGCCACAATGGCATGTCTTTATTGAAAAATTGAAAATGAATTTACAATATTTTACAGACTTTCACAAAGTGACTAACTCGTCTTTATACAAAAGTACTCTAAGTTAGATTTTGGAAACAATATTTCACTTCCCTAATAGATTGGTAATAACCTCTATCTATCAGGATTATTGCCAACAGTTTGTTACTGTTAATTGCCCGAAAACCAATGAATTGCTAAGTTAAAAGGGAAAAGCAGAAAAACGATTTGAGAAAGGGGACAATTCAAGGCCTACCAAAAAAATCCAAAAATAAAAACAATCTCTTTTCAAAAGGAATCTGCCTAATTGGGATAGTCTTCTTGCTTCACTTGAACCTCAGAAGAAATCTTTTTTTTCACCACCTGTGGCATCGGACGAGTCAATCCAACTGGTCTTTCATTTAAGTGAGTACCGGATTGGGATATCTCAAGGAAAGCATTTAGACCTCAGCTTTTTTCTATTAAAACTTTATCACCCCTTGAAGAACTTAGGTAAGAGACGGAAGTTTGCAATCCACATTACCCATCACTTGGTCTTTTGGCATCATAGAAGTTTTCATTAAGGGATTTGAGCTTTTTGGGAGCAACCGTTTTCAAAACTTTCTTTCTGATCACCAATAACGTCATCAGAACACGTGATCGTGACCAATAGGAGCTTGTTTACATTTCAAAAACTAATGTGTTTCATGTCAGCCAATCACCTTTAGTGAGGATTTGTGCTACCAAAAATTCAGGGTCAAACTGAGGTAGGCAAAATTCCTCAGAAAACTATAAAAGCAATAGCTCTAAGTGACTCACAAGTGACTGAAAAAGGAAAAATAAGCTCTTTTATCATTAAAAACCTCTATATACCTCTCGCTTTAAAGGTTAAATAGGCCTTCAGATACTTCACAGTGAGTTTTTCTTCCTTTGGAAACTTTCTTGCCATTGGTATCAAAGGTGTTACTTGACTTTTTTTGGTCATTAGAAGTCAAGTTTTTGAGTAAAGAGGTTTGTAAACAAAAGAGAAAGGGTAGATGCAACTCTTAAAATTATATTTCAAATTGTTTTAATAAAAGTATTAAGACCTATTGACAAAGAAGTATAGAAACTTATTGCGAACATTTTTTTTGTATGTGATCAGAGGATCAGTGTAAAGAGTTTTTAATTTAAAAATAAAATATTTTAGTATATAATAATTTTTTTATAATAATATACAAAAAAGAAATTCTAGTTGGGTTTGTCTACTTTCTGAGTGGTAATAGATCCATCTAGAAATACCACAATAGGTTATCACATGATAATATTCACGTTAATATTCTGTCGTTTAACTTCAACCAGTGCCCTTCCTGCCGAATCTCCTATCTGATTAAAACTAATATCCAAATTGGTCAGGGTGGTATTCTTGTACAATGCCTCAGCCAGTGCCTTTCCTGCCAAATCTCCTATATCATTATTCCTTAAATTCAAATTGACCAAAGTGGTATTATTGCATAGAGCCTCAGCAAGTACCCCTCCTGCCGAGTCCCCTAGTCCTGTGCGATTTAAATTCAAATTGGTTAGAGTAAAATTCTTGCATAGAGCCTCAGCGAGCACCCTTCCTGCCGAATCTCCAATATCATTATTCTTTAAATTCAAATCGATCAGGGTGGTATTCCTACATAGAGCTTCAGCCAGAGCCCTTCCTGCCGAATCTCCTAATCCTGTACGATATAAATTCAAGTAGGTCAGTGTGGTATTCTTGCATAGAGCCCCAGCCAGTGCCCTAAATGCCGAATCCCCTATCTCATTCCAACTTATATTTAATTCGGTCAGGGTAGTATTCTTGCATAGAGCCTCAGCCAGTGCGAATCCTGCAGTTTCACCAAGATTTTTGTAACGCAGATTCCAATTTAAAGCACACTTCCGATCTTTTGGCGTATGTCGAGGATCTTTAAGAATGATTTCCCAAATCTCTAGTGCTTTTACGTAATTTCCTTCTGCAAAATGTGATTCAGCTTTATCTCGGTGATCTTGAATATCATCTAAAACAGATGTCTCTGATGTGATATCTGAAATTATCAATTTAATTAGTGTATATATTTTCCTTATTTAATCTTGCCATTCTGTCTCTACAACACCTACCATTTTCGTTATATGAAGAAATATCACTAATTGAATCTTCCGGCAGACATAAACTATTGTTGGAATTTTCATCTAAACTAACATTTATCTGAAACACGGGTTCTAACTTAATATTTTCAAGATTATCTAAGATGATTTCAATTGTAGGACGTTGTTTTGGATCACTGTGCCAAGCTTTAGAATAAATGTTTACGTAATCCGACGGAGTACCGTTAATCGGTGTTTCTCTTTCTCCCCTAATAATATCTAGAAATCGGATTCGAGGAGTTTTTCCACTCGATATTTCCCAAAAAAGAATACCCAAGCTATAGATGTCGGAAAGTTTATCTTGTTTGTATGAACGATCATTTAGATGTTGTGGGTCGCGATAAGCTTCTGGTGTGTACCCAACAGTAGATGTTAAGTTATTTTCTTTAATATTCTCCCGGGATTTAGATAGTCCAAAGTCCGTGATCATTAACCTATTATTATGTATCAAGACGTTCTTAGAGTGCTAAAAATATAAATATTAAACCCATAATTTGTTAATTTCATAGATTGCCTAATTAAATAGAATCGTATAGCATGCACACATACATACCAGATCCAGATGAATAATATTCGCTGCATGTATACAACATAAACCGCTTGCAATATCTTTCGCCATCTCAATTTTTCTTTGCCATCCTAGCACGGAAAAACTTCATTTTCGCATAAATCATGTAAATAATCTCGGAGAGTCCCTCCATTGGCATATTGAAATACTAAAAAATATATGTCCATATTTACATCTACAATATAAAAATACAATTTAAATAATTTCAACTAATTATAAACATTTTAATAATGCTATGTAAGATACTTACCTTTACTAATTCCTAAGAATCTTATGACATTTTCGCTATCATCTACTGCACTAATATTTCGTAACTATTAACAATATAAGTAATATTATTAAAATTTAGAAATAGTTCTAAAATAAACTACTAGATAAATATTATTACTTCTCTCACAAACAATTTATAAAACTGTCGTCCTTGTTTATACAAGCTTTTTAAAACTACTTTTTTTCTTGCAGTTTTCGAATATGCTGCTTCAACCTTACCAAACCCCCCCATTGCAATAGATTGAATTTGTTCGAACGAGTTATAGTCATAAAATCTAATATAACGTTTCTTAATTGCCACATTAAGCCATTCTTCATTTTCCTCCGTTTTATCTGTCTGAGACATTGCGGTATAAAGTGTAGAAAGTCGTTGGAATTTGTTACACGATTGCTTAAATAGTGCAAACGGTCCCACGAGTTTATCACGAGTCATTCGATAATTGTCCCTGTCGCACAATTTCTTATATTCTATTTTAGTAATTATCGGATTTCAGAAACCTTTGTTAAAAATGGGTATCCTGATATCTAAATTAAATTATGACGTCTTATCTAAAATATTTTATAATATTTTCAACTAAATTAGTTATAATAATATATAAATCCTTTTTTTTCTTTATTATATTATTAGGTTATTATAGGCAATTTATTTATTTTAATTTATAATTATATTATTGTGACTAATATTTATCGAATAATAATAAAACAAATTATAATATATTTATTACTTCACTTCACATAATAATAACTTATTTTTGTCTATTATTAGTTGAATAATTAAACTATTTAAAATATGAGAAAGTTTACTGAACTAGTTTAAATTAATATACAATAAATCACAATAATCTTGTACTTTTTTATTTTTTTGTAATAATTAGTAAATAAAATTGGTAAAATATATTTATTATATGCATTGACTACTTAATACAAATTATATTTAAGCATTATATACACTATATATGATTTGAACTAAACTAAATTTTTTATTAATAAACTTATTTTAGTTTAAGTTTTAAATTTAATTATAAAAAATATAATTCTCTATAAATATTTGAATAAATATTCTTTTAGTTATTTGGTTTATTACAAATTTATTGTTTTTATATTGCTAAAAAATAATAAAATTATATTAAAAGAAAAAAATATATATAAAACATACAAATATATTATAAAAAAAAAAATTAAAAATAAAAAAATTATTTTATTATTTTTTAAAAAATTGATATTTTTAAAATCTTTTTTCAATAAATTAATATTCTTATTGAAATATTTTTTTTTCTAATTATTTAAAGAACTTATTTATTTTTAATTTTAATTTCTTTTTTTAAACCACAACTGGTATTAGATGCGAGCGTATTTATTAAGAATTTACTTAATATCAGGGATTTGAAAATCCTAGACATTGATATCAATCATCTCATATAAACTATATATTTCTATATACATGCAAATTAATGATAACCTATTGTGGTATTTCTAGATGGATCTATTA